ATTCCTGCAATTCACTTATTTATTGCTGTAAGAATTCAATGTCTATGAATGAAAATCTTGCATGTTGATATTGACTACTGAGGGTGTGATAGAACTGGACCAGGGTATGATGAAAAAGAAAGATTGAATGAAACAGGAGAGAAAGAGAATGAGTATTATCTGATGGTGAGAGAATTATGGAGATAAATTTGAGGAACCCGGCTCCTCTCACTCAATTGTCTAATTTTGTTACTCTTATGGTCCTTTGTATAACTCCTGCTAGCTAACTAAATAACCTTCAACTAGTGAATTATCTAGCTGTTTCTTTTTATTTATTCTCTAATAAAATTGAGTGATAGCAAATTCAAATGAAGAATATGTCACCCTTGACAGAAATACCTGCAAAATATTACTTTGCCAATGCTTGGTTTTGTTTCAATGCTAAGAAATGACTTTCGTTAAAGAGAGAAAAAAAAGGGGGGAAACTGGGGATGCTGTGGTTGGTGTGGTGGAGTGGAGGAATAGATTTAAAAACATCCAAAAAGGACAATAAATCTCAAATCCATACGTTATGATTGTTAATTTCTCGAATGATTATCTGCTGCATGCTGCATGCTGCATGCTTAGGCTAGAAAACTTTTAAGTCGTGACCAATTTATCCGTGTGTTTGGTAATGCGTTTTGTGTTTCTTGATTTGGATCTGCAAAGAAATTATTAGTTACTGTTATGTTGTTTAATTGGGCCTAGACAAGGATGCTCCATGGTGAAGCAAACACGCACTTTATAGCTTAATGGATCCGCAGCATGGTTACGTCTGGATTATAAAAAGCGATAAATTCTAGAAATAACATTGACATCAATCGTGTAAGTGTCAACATAGTGAATTATCAGACTATTTTTTACAAATTAGAAAGGATAAGAGATCTTAAAATGATTTGATTTCCCAAGACAAAAAGTACTTTACGCAGTTATCAATCATGCAAACCATTTCTAAGTGGATGCATTAGCTGAGCAGCAAAATGTTAGAAACCAGTCCTTGTATACAAAAAATAAAGTTTTTTTTACAGCAAAAAAAAAGAAATAAATAAAGGAAGTTTTAGTCTCTATAAGGCTATATAAATTTTTTTACCACTGGCAATCTTCTGTGAGAGAAGGAATTTGCTTGAGTCGGGCTGGACCGTAACAAAGCTTTATATTTAAATATTTAATGCAACTGAATATAATTTGAACTTAACATCATTAGTTAATCTAGAACAATATTAAGCTGATTCATGCAATTAAAAGTTAATTATAAAGATTAGTTCCATTACTCGTGTCCAACTGGACGACTGTGGTAATCTGAGGTAGGTAAGATAATCAATGACAATGTCCAAATGACCAACATGTTGAAGTTCATGAACCGAGTTGCAGAACATGTAACCAAGGAATAATTCTCCTTTTGCATCATCTCTGTCTAAACAGCAAATGAGATTACTCTAGACAAGACGTTGGTTACCATTACCAATTATACTTGACACTGGTGGTGGCCGTGTTTATGGAAACATAGCTATTGTTTACGATTTCAGTTTTTTTTTTTTTTTCAAAGAAAAATTATATTAAGATAAGACAGAACAACACAGATATGTATAGAAAAATATAAAATTTTAAACATATCAAATTCGATCTCAAACTAATAAGAACAAAAGATTTAACCATTTATATGACTATTATGAATCTACTTGAATGAGTAGCTACTTAAATTTTGCATGTTATAAATATATGAAATTCAATTATTTGTTAGTTATATAATACAATTCCGAATCAAGAATTTTTTCATGCATAAAATGTATTTTTTTTATTTATTTATGTACTTTTAGGCTTCAATCATAATCCATGCCATGTCATACAGTCTTAAAAAGCAATGCGACAACAACCATTCAAGAGTCCAACTGAAAACAAAAGTAATCTGATTTTGAATAGTTGGGTTTGGAAGAGGCAACTAATTTTCCCATATACAATGTATTTGGGATGGGATAGTAGAACTGGAATTTCAATTAGCCTTAGCCATTGATTAATGAGAAAGTTTAGAAATTATTGAAACACATTTTTTTTTAACATTTTTATCCCGACATATTCTCTTTCATTAATTAAAAATCAATGGACCTCACTAATTCAAGAATTAGACCCAACATCTTGCACAGAAAATAAGTAATATACCGAAGGTATAAAATAGTTTTAGACTATTATTCAATTACAAACAACCATTATATTAAGTTACTGATTTTTATAATAGATAAATAAAGATTCATATATAGTGATATTTAATTCATTAACCGTATAAAACTACTTTTATATTTCCGGTGCATGAACATTAAAGTCTAAATTGTATTAGTTGCATTCTTCTTATCAAATAGTGGTGTTTTGGGAGCAATATAATGTTGCCATTCTGTATTCAAGGTGGAAAGTATGGATTATCCGGATTTGGGGACAACCAATGGTAGTTCAGGTGAAAGGTGTAAAATGGCAATGTTTGTTTGCAATTACGGTGTGCCTCCATGGAGGAACAAATTGCAATCAATTTTAAGTAATCTGTGAGGCACAAATGCATGCTTCATAATCATTTCTACGACTACGACATTAGTTGGAATACTTGTCTACTTGCTGTTAAGTTTCTTCTCCTTTTTTTTTACTCACTGAATGAATCGATATTGTAGCCAATTGGGTATATTTTACAGATTCAAGGTGCTTTAATTGCTAGAAACCTGGTGGCGCAAGAATTGATCTTTTTGTAACTTGTTTTTTAAGCTCATTCCATTCATCACTTTCATCCAAATGATCCGAAAGTTAACATTTTATCTTGTGTATGAAATATTTCTATGTTTTAATTATTTCAACTTTTTATATGCACCCAATAGTCCAAAATATTACTGCACAGAAGCTGGAGATTGTATTGCTTGAGACAGAGGACCCAAACCTCAATTTATTACAACGATGCCTTAAAGTTTGCAAGTATCATATAGAACTAGTTTTTATCGTTTTATGAGATTAATTTTCATTCATCTAAGCAATTTTATACGGTCAATAATTTTATCATACATAATTTATGATAAAATTTCAATGTAAACAACTTTTACACTCAAAGTATATTCTAGTTAAATTCTTGTATCAGTTTTCCATCCCTCCGAAGGTATGATTTAAAAAAAAAAAGTTGAAACTAATCCTATAATCTATAATTTGTATCATCTTTGGAAGGAGAAGGGGGAAATAGTCATTTTTTAAATGAACATAATGATGAAAAATCAATGTCTTCTGTATTATGGTTAATTAGTATTAAGCATATGCAGCTTTCATTATGTACCAGGCTTAGGCCTGAGGTATGAAATAATTAACTATCGGGCATGTATTCTGAGATGCTCAAGTTGTATAGAGAGAGGGCCATTGGAACATATATGTATTAATATTATTTGGCTATTTGCATCATTTTTTTTTTCTTTTGTGAGTCTTGTACATATATAAGGTGGCTTATCACTGCCTTCATGACAACCGTAAATGTAAATGTTCTATAAGGTTCTGTGCCTTTTTCTGAAGAGCTTTCACCAAAATGTTCTTCTCATGCATGTTTATAAAACCATGCTTGGGGACAAAAACTCCTACCGAGGGTTGCATGCTGCTGGAACTGGAGTGCCTCTATAAGCTTCACAAACATAGCGTGTAAAATTCTCATATTCCTGAATTAACACAAACAATAATATTAACTCTTTGTTGATGAGTATCATAGCAAGAACATGGAAATTGAACTAATGATGTGTGTATTTGCATGTGTGTTTAAATGAGAAAGAGAAAAAGAAAGTACAAACCTTTCCAATAGATTGATTGTTTACCACCACCCAAGGCAGAACTTCGTAGGGTGTGTAAAGGGGAGCAGCTTCATTAATATATTTTTGTCCAATCTGCATAGGATTAAAATTCCATGTTAAAGATCATAAAAGCAAGTAAAAAATTATTATTATTTTTATATAGAGAACAGGTATCTTGCACTGGAGACAATGTAATTTTGTTCTAACTATGTAAAATTACTATTAACAGTAAAACTTATATTGAATTTTAACACAACTACATATTTAATCTAAGATCACTGGCCTACCTAGAACAACTTTATGCCATCAATTAAATACAAGGTTGTATTATAAGGTTAATAGAACATCCATAATTTTGCATAACCCTATAGTCATGATTAGGTGCTACTATGATTAACCATGAATTTTCTTGCTTTTTTTTTTGTGTGTATTCACTTCACTTGCAAAGTTAAAACATTTACTGTGATATATTGTTTTAGTTAATTATGGTCATAGAAATGTGCAATAACCTCTGTTCCATTTCCTGTATTATAGCAGTTAAGAATAGGTTCCTTGGGCAACTCCAATTCGGTGAAACAATCCTGCCAATTCTTGTGCCTTCCCTCAATTGCCAGAAACTCAAAGCAGTAAATCAAAGCATAATGTTTATTCTGCATCATAATTTATCGTAGATATCAGATCCACCACAAAAAATGCTTTGGGTAAAATTTTATGTTTACAATGAATAAAAACATACATTCACTTTTTTCTTCTATCTCTTTTTCTTTCTATCTTTCTCTTCTTTTCCCATCACATAATACATCACACTTACCACATCATTCAAAACATTGAGAGCACAGGCTTCCAGTGAATTTAGCTCGCATTCATCAGGGCCATTCTGCATATTTTTATTGAAGTACAAGTTTAATTTGGAAGATATATAATCATCAAACATTCATATTTCTTAATAATTATTTTCCAAACAAAAGGAATATTAAATACTAGTAGAATAGAAGCACGGGAAACTATAAAAAAGACATGATAGAGAATAAAGAAAACAATATTGTAATCATAGAAGTTTTTCAAAATTTTATTTCCCACAACACTGTTTTTTCTCCACCACATCAGTCATCTCATGGCACATTTCTCTCTTTTCTCTTCTTATCTTTCTGGTGATTCTAAAAAAAATTGTGCACCCTTATTATAGAACTGTGATTTCTCTTTTACAAATATTCGCTACTGTTATGGTTTGTGCATTTATGTCACAACTCTTTGATGGGGAAACCTGATTTGAAAATTTCTTAGAAATTCACAGTGGCTTTTGACTATAATACTAATGGTCATTGACAAAAATATTTACTAAATAGAAAGTAAAAGATGTGATTAATGTTGAAATTAAACCCCTTTTCCCCAATTGTTCTATTGAAGTGAAAAGAAAATCAAAGAAAAAAAGCACATATAAAGCAAATGGAAAGCATGTACAACTCAGCCAAAGTCCTAGCAGCCGGGAGGAATAGTGGAACACATAATATATTATTTTTAATATTTTATTATTGTTTATTTCAGCAATGCACGCCTCTACATTTTTTATGGCAAGAACTCAGAAGCAATAAGCTTGTCTACCTTCAATTTTGTCGTACCATTGAGCTTGCTAACCAAATTGATATCAGAATCAGTTATGTAAGTGACAGAAAATTCACCAATGTTAATTGCTTAAAGTTTTAATGGTTTGCACGGCACCAAATCAATAAGCTTTATGTTAATCTTATTATAGCACAATCTTACATAAACCTCAAATTCTTTCAAGCATAACAAAGAAAATAGAGACAGAATAAAACCTGACATATTATGGAATGGTTAGTCTTATCAACATAAGCATTGGCCCAAGGAACTAGCTGGAGATTCACAATGTTGATGAGATCACCGTGGAAGATTCCTTCTAGATTCTTAACAATGAAAGTTGCACAAGGTTGGCACAGGCTTGCATAGTACACCGAAAGATTAACTTTCTGAGAAGCAAATGATGTATCCTCAGAAGGGTGGTAAGAAGCACCAACAGATTCATTGGTGAAAATGAAAAAGACCAATGCTAGTGCAGTGATGGTAGATAGTTTTGGAGAAACCATCCTTTTTTCAGGGCCTGAAAACAAGGAAGACTTTCTCTGCTCTGTTTCTGATTCTGGGTGCAATGAATATTGCACTGACTCTAATAAATAAGCCATTCATGTATCATAAAGTGCTAAATAAAGGTAAAATAATCTTTGGTTAATAGTTTATTTTATAGATATTTATTAAAATTTTAATCCAAACAAACTCTTATCAATTATCAGGACTAAAAATGCGTGTTAATGTTAAAATGTAAGCACTAAAAGCATATTAAATTTTATGAGAATTAAAATTAAATTTCAAGTTATTTTAAGTCATCAAATATATATTTTAAAAAAGTGGGAAATATGAGAGACAGAGAGTCTGTGCAGAAATTAGAAAAAGGCAACTAGTCATTAACCAATGGTACCCATTAGTAGTTAGTGCATTGAGTTTTCTTTGTTTGCATACGGCTTTATGGAAAAACGTCAATGTAAACACAAGACAGTATAAGATAGGTTTTTTCTTCTTCTTTTTTTTTTTTGCCATAATTTGATACATCAATTTTCAAATTTATTTTGGGCAAGTCCAGAAATATAATCCTCTTTTCTACTAATTTTCCCAGGTAAATAATGGGTAATAAAACCCAGAAATACACAAGATAACTTCAGAGTTGAAGCAAACCATATCAGCCATGATCAATAATTTCCTTTTGTTGTGTGTAAATATTGCTTTTTATAGCTCCATAAAAAATAAAAAAAATTTCCAGCTATTTAAAAGTTGGCGTTAATTGTTGTGCATTTGCCTACCTCTAACGCTCTTCCCTAACTCTGCTTTATCTTACCAACTCTTAAGCTGTACAAAGCTCATATTCTTGGACTTTCATTTCTTCCTTTTGTCCTTAGTTAGTTTTCTTTGGCTTTGCTTCTCAAGAGTTTTCTATCTATATAAATTATTATTTTTGGATGTTATCTTTGTTGGATATTGGACTCTCTTTTTATATAGAGAAAAAATTTAAAAATTGAGAAGCCTATTTGATGTCTCACTTAATTAAGTTGAGAGGGGGCCTGAAGTACAAGGGGTGAGAAAGAGAGAAAGTCAAAAGTTACTTTGAACACCAGCACTTTGAGAGAGAGAAAGTTATTCTCATTTTTACACAAAGTTGCGACTGTAAAATTGATACTGCAGATTTGTTCACCGTTAGATCGGGCTGAAAATTTGAGAGCATGTCTGGGACATCTTGTTCTTGATTTTGAACGGTTGGATCTTTAATACAAGATCTAAGTTGAGAGATATTCAGTTCACACTGTAACTATATATTTGGAGTTTTTCATCTTTTTTGTTCTCTATTTGTAAACTTTATTGCTTTGTTGTTTAGCTGGTTATTAGCACTGTTTTGTGTAGTCGATTGAGACTCCTTTGTACTCTTTGTTAATCATAGTAGAACTATTTTTTTGATCTGGATGACTTGTGATCTTTACCCTTATTTTGAGAGGTTTTTCACATTACAATCTTGATATCTTTATGTGTGATTTTGGTGATTTATTATTGTTGTTCATTGGTTGTTGCTCCTCATAAATTCTTACAAGTTAAGAAATTTATTTTCACTGCATTAACTGTTTGACTTCGCTCTATATTGTTATTATGTTGTTGTTTCTCATCAATCTTTTTTATATTGTTATTGCATTTATTGTTTTAAAATCCAATTGATACAGAAAAAATATTTGAACTTTTTCATAAATAAGAATTTTCAAAACATGCCGCTCTCAAAAACTTAAAAGACATTGAAATAAATTTGTTAAATAAATTAATTGTAGAAAGATAAATAAAAAAGAGAGACGTATAACAAGTCATTGGAATACTTTTAATGCTAAAATGAATGTATATGTAATTCTTTCTTGAAGACAATACGCAATGCTGACATGATAGAAACAAGACAAGTGGAATTTAATGACCGAAAATAATATCATGACATAATATAAGTATTAAGTAATACATGAAAAATCAATATGCGAATAATCTAACGCTTTCTAAAAAAGTTCTGACTTGTCTTATTAGTGGATTCATCAAAATAAGAATAAAAAATATTTTTGTTATTATTAATACTCAAAGTTAGTGATGAGAAAGTAGGTAAAAGTTCAAAATTAATACCTTTAATTTGCCTGAATTTTTTCTTCTTACAAATTTTTTGAAACAGGAAAAGAAACATATGACAATCGTTATAATAATAACAATTACTAGCCTATAAAAAAGTTTTATAGCAGAGAATTTTATCCAGAAGTTTATAACCTTTTTTACACTTATCCTATATCATTATGTTAGTGTTAAATAATAAATACACCTGTCTAAAAATAAGATGAGGGTGGCTACAAAGTCCAAGGACTTATTTTATTTATCACACCGACTATATATATGTTAAGAGTCGTGAAGCATTTCTTCAATTAATGGTTTAAGTTGTTGAAAGAGACAATGACTGTGAAGTACGTGTAATATGACACAGCTTTTGTCCCCACTTTTCCTATAAATATTATACTATCCTACACCAATGCTTATCTATTTCACTAGACTTAGAGAGATTCTCAAAGCATAGTCCATAATCCAATACTATGGAAGACGGTGGAACAAATGCTAAAAGCTTGGATCCTCATCTGAATTCAGAAGACGGATCTAAAAGAGAAGATGTTGAAGAAAAGGAAGAGAGTGGTGTTGAAGGAGGGCTTATGAACAACTTGATCTCCACCTTGAGTCCAACCAATATTGGAAAATCCAATGAGAATGAAAGTGATGGTGATGATGGAGAAAGAAAAAGGGTTGATGAAGGTGGAGAGGGAGGGTTCATCAGCAAAATGGTTTCCAATTTCTTCCATCAAAGTGAAGGTGAAGGTGTGGTGGAAAATGAAGAGGATAAGGAAGAGGAGGAAATCAAGGGTGGTGAAAGAATCAAACGGTTGAAGACAGAGAATAATGGAGGCATCATTCACAACATTGTTTCTCATTTACCAGCTGCTTCAATCCCAGGTAATTATGCAACAGAAACTATATCATCCTAGCATTGTGTTCTAGCCAACTTTTCTAGATACTAATATTTACATCTTATTAGATTATTATTTATTAACTTAAAGAAAAAAAATAAAAGTAAAAAATGAAATACACTCTCAAAACTAGTTTATGCATACTAAAAATAATTTTTTAGATAAACAAATCACAGGTTATACATGTATATTTATTCGGTTATTTTGGATCTAGTGCAACTAATTTTGTTATTACCGATGTTATATCATAACATTTTTAAACTTTAAAAGAATTTTTAAAAATCAGATTATATATAAAATATTTTAGTTTATAAAAAAAATTCTTCTTATTTTCTTTTTTATATTAAAAATACTTCTGAAAAATTTTATTCAATATGTCCTTACTCCATAACAGGAAAAAAAATTTTGTTCCTCGGCCTTATTTTAAATTCCTTTGTTACTTTCTTAGCTGCTAATTGACTAATTCACTTTGTAGTTAAGACTAATTGGTATGAGCATAGTATTAGTGCTAAAGTTAGGATATATTAAAATAGTTGTAAAACCTATGTTAAAATTGTTTTGTTATTTTAGGCTTTTCACTATTGGTGGCTACATATCTTGCTAGACAAGTATTGCTCTATAGTTAATCTATGGTTAATATTATCTTTATAGTTGATGTTATATCTTATGTTAATTATAAGTAATAAATAAGAATATATATATATATATATAT